TGGGGGGGCGCCCCCCGCGAGCCGGCCATGTCCTCGTTCTCCGAGTCGGCGCTGGAGCGGAAGCTGTCGGAGCTGAGCAACTCCCAGCAGAGCGTCCAGACGCTCAGCCTGTGGCTCATCCACCACCGCAAGCACGCCGGGCCCATCGTCACCGTCTGGCACCGCGAACTCCGTAAGGGTGAGGAGGAGGAGGAGGAGGAGGAGGAAGATGAGGAAGAGGCCGGCCAGCCGGGGAGGGGGTAGAGGGTGGGAAGCCCCCGTGGCTGAACAGCGCCGTCCCGAGGGAGCCCCGGGCAGCCTAGACCTCCGCCAGGCCCGGGACGGAGGACCCGGGAGAGTCGTCCGTCTCCCTTGCTTCCCTCGTGGGTTCCGAAGCCAGCAACCGTTAGTGGGCCCGGCTCTGGCTCCTTTTGGGAGACAACCTGGAGGAGGAGGAGGAGGGATCGGGCCCTCTCAGTATTAAGCCTGCCCGGTATTAAGATGATCAGGAGAGGCCTTTCTCTCAGTCCCACTGCCTTCACAGGTGTGTCTGATAGGCACACAAGGCAGGGCCTTCTCTGTGGCTGCTCCCAGACTGTGGAACCCCCTCCCACTGGAGGGCAGCCTGGCCCCGTTTTGGCGAGAGTGAGTGTACATATATTCGGTGGCGGCAGTAGTACAGGGTAATTAAAAAAAACACCTTGCGCTTTCTGCTTTATGTTGGAATGAAAGAAACGTGTGTTCCCTGAAACAATGCACTCTTTTGAGGTGGGTGTGCAGCCCTTCTTGGCTTGCATTCCAGTAGACGGCTTCTGTTTGTGGAAACTGAGGCATCTAATTAGAGATGGGAAGGCCAAGGAAGGGGGGGGAGATGGAAAAATGGGATCTGATGGTTCTTGTGGGTTTTTCGGGCTCTTTGTTCTGAAGGTTGTTCTTCCTGATGCTACTCCAGTCCTCTGAAGATGCCCATGGGCACAGAGACGGGCAAAACGTTAGGAAGGACAACCCTCAGAACACGGCCAAAGAGCCCGAAAAACCCACAAGAACCACAACTTTATTTTCCCTTCATTGTAATTGGCAACTTTGCGGGACATGGAGCAAAACCTGCAATAAAATATTTACTGTTGGAGATCAGTGGGATGCCTCTTAGGGTAAGGCTTCGCTCAACTGGAAATGCCAAGAACGGCACAGTCTGAATATTTGCAGGTATAACCGTCTGCGGAATTCAAGAGCAGTCAGTTCTGCACATCTTGTAGGCTTGCGCTCTAGCGCTCAAGGGGAGCAGGTGTTTCTGCACCCAGGGAGTTCTGCCCTCTTCCTGAGAAGAGCCCTGAGGCTGTGGCTTCTTCCCTGATGCCAGGTTGTTGCTTTCCTCCTTCTGGAGACCTTCACTCTCCTCTGGCGGAGGCCCGTCACAAGTAGTACCAAGACTCTTGCTGTCCAAATATTGCACTTTATTTTGCTTATTGCAAAACCTGTGCTTTCTGTTTTCACTTTATTTCCACAGAAGGCATGAGGGAAAGTACATGTTTTTTAAGTGGGATAAGGTGCATCCATTTGCAAATTTGTAGTACAGTGGTGCCCCGCTAGACGATTTCCTCGCAAAATAACAAATTTGCATGACAGTGAGTTTTTGCAATCGCTATAGCACTTCGCAAAACAGTGTTTCCTATGGGCAATTTTCGCTGTCCGATGTTTCGGAGTGTGCTTCACAAGACTTTTTTTCAGGACCTTTAAGTGGGATAAGGTGCATCCATTTGCAAATTTGTAGTACAGTGGTGCCCCGCTAGACGATTTCCTCGCAAAATAACAAATTTGCATGACAGTGAGTTTTTGCAATCGCTATAGCACTTCGCAAAACAGTGTTTCCTATGGGCAATTTTCGCTGTCCGATGTTTCGGAGTGTGCTTCACAAGACTTTTTTTCAGGACCGATGTTTCGCTACGATGTTTCGGAGTGTGCTTCGCAAGACTTTTTTTCAGGACCGATGTTTCGCAAGACGATTGTCTGCGACTCGCAAAACGGGTGTTTTCCGGACTGATGCTTTGCAAGATTTTAAGTGATTTAAGTGATTTTAACAGCTGATCGGCACTTCACAAAATGGCTTTCCTATGTGCAATTTTCGCAAAACGATGACTATTTTCCCCATTGGAACACATTAAATGGATTTCAGTGCATTCCAATGGGGAATCGCATTTCGTCAGACAATGTTTTCACAAGACAGCGATTTCAATGGAATGGATTAACATCGTCTTGCAGGGCACCACTGTACACGGTATTGTGGTAATTTTTCTTGTACAGAAATAATGCTTTTACGTTTTAAAACTTCATCAATATGCTGAGTAGTACTGTTTTGTAGATTAGATTAGGCATCCTTCAGTCTTGAGAGACTAAGGTCATGTGCTCTGTATGGAGGACTTGGAACAGCATTTCGTGTGGCTGAGAAGGCCAATGCGAGAGTGGCAATCCCTTCCACACTGAAGACAAATACAATCTGTCTCCTGTCCAGCTCCCTGATTTGGTTGCTTTCAGGACTGCCTCCTTGCCTCTGCCTGCTGGACGAGGGTCTCTTCAAATTGGGAGAGGCCGTGATGCACCGCCTGCCTCCAGGCTGAGCGCTCAGATGTCAGGGTTTCCCATCTGCTGAAGTCCATTCCTAAGGCCTTCAAATCCCGCTTGCAGATCTCCTTGTATCACAACTGTGGTCTCCCGTTGGGGCGATTTCCCTGCACTCATTCTCCGTACAGGAGATCTTTTGGAATCCGACCATCAGCCATTCTCATGACATACCCGAGCCAATGTGTTTCAGTAGACAGACTAAATGATGAGTAGATAATTTTCTTTTAAATTAGCAAAATAAGCATAGATTTCATTTAAAAAATACTTTATGTACGTATTGTAAACCCCACCACCACCAATTTCATTCCTTTTCTAGAGAAACACACTCCATAGCTTTGAAATTTCTAGAATTTTAACATCCCTTCCCCAAGTATTTGCTACTCTTTCCAATAAGGCAGCAAATAATTAATATAGTTATAATTGGATACAACTGAGAATAGTGGTTTGTGGAAAGAAAATACACCAGAAAGATCTGTGGTTTTGTCTTTCCTTGCAGAAATTAAAAGGGAAAATGCATATACATAGTAGTCTTAAACACATGAAAGACCCCTGTGAAAAAAATGGACTAGAGGTTCTTGTTGGTCCAGAAGCCACGACTGGACCTACATCAAATGGAGAGAAGGGGATTTCAGTTAAACAGTGTCCCAGACTTCTTAACAGTCAAGCAAAGGTGCTTTGAGAGGCAAAATACTTCCCCTTTGCCGGAGGTATTTACACAAAACCTAGGTAGCCGTAGGTCACAGGGGATAAAGTTGCATCAAGCTAAGAAGCCCCTGCATTGGGCAGAGGACTGCACTCCCAAGGAGCCACCTAAATCTGTAATAGATACCTCTCAAAGGATATACAGCATGTCTCACGTCGATCCAGACTCTCACCTGTGTTCTCTCCTGCCAGACTCTTTCTCTGCCTTCTTCTTTTCCCCTCTGAGCAATTTAGCAACCCTTAGTTTTCACCAGTTTATGCAAGGTAAGCAACACGTTAAAGATGAAAGCAAATTTCAGTTAATTTGATATTTCAGTTAATTTTTTTCATTTTACTGCTAACGGCCTTGAGTCCCAAAGTAAAATGTAAAAACAAAGAAGGGGGTCATTGAAAAGTAAGTTTTTCTTGTTTTCCCCCTCCATTCTCCTCCCACCCCCCTCGGGACTTGACACTTCTGTTTGAAGTGCCTCTGAAGCCACTTTGGGAGAACTCCTTCATCCAGTATTTTACTTCAGGATGAAATGTTGTCCGTGACACAGGTGGGGGGATTTCATATCGGCGGCAGGCTTCCTTTCCCTTGACAATGATAGAATAACTATGGCAGGCCTTTGAGAACTGCCTTTTGTCTGGCTAATCTGCTGGTGCAGATGCCTTGAGACCTGCAGTCACTTCGAAAGGTAGAGTTGCAAGGATCTTTTTGCCAGGGAGGTGTGCTGGGTGCGTTCCCCAACCGTTCTGAAAGTGGCTCTGGAAGATTGCTTTCCTAGCTCAGTGGGACGGGAAAGTTCTAACCGTAAAGGCTCTGTGAAACCTGGCACCCAGCTACTTCGAGAAAGATCTCCTCCCAGATCGCTCTACATGGATAGTCACGACGCGGAGGCATCTCTCCAGCTACTGCTGTCCTCAGTGATAAGATGGGTGGTGACCAAGAAGAAGATGGCTTTCGCTGCAGGATCTGCTCAGATCCCAGCCCCCGAGTGCTGGGAGTGCGAGATTAGTTCGCAACCTAAAAACAAATGAGATGGTGATGCGTTTCTCTCAGTCTTCCTTCACAGCCTTAATTAGGGAAAGTTCAGGTTTTTCTTTCACAACTTAGATGGGTCCTTTGCAAGGGATTTATTTTGGAGGGACTGTTTTTAGCAAGCAATTGCATTTTAGTTCCCTTAGACATAAAATGTGGAAAACAATCACCTACCTGCGGAGTTATTTAGATTTCTTTCAATTTATGGCAATATATGAAATATAGGTAGAATTAAAGACAAATTGACATGTTAAGATAATTAGACAGGTTTTTTAAATCAGAAGCAGGCTACTTCTTTATCTCAACCATTGGCTGGATCTTTTGTCCATGTGGTGGGGCATAAGTGCCATGCATGTCAGTGCTAGACTGATTGAATTTCTCCACAATCACAGAAAATTTGTCCTGTATCCAAATAACCCCATATTACTGGGTTATTCTTTCATCTTCCTACTTTGCTTTGAAGACTATTAAGTGACTTCCAGATGGTTTGGACTGAGTCTTTTCCTGGTCGGAGTCACTTTTCAGCATTATTCCATACAGTGAAATGTGTCTTTTGTTTGTTTTGCTGTCTGTAGGTTCAGCCTAGCCTCTTCTGGTTCAGTATTTAGAGCTTGAGACATGTGCAGAGAACCTCGATTTTAGCCGTTGTCTAAGGGGCTGGTATCCACAAAGTGGCTGGGTTGGGTGTGGTATCTGCAAACACAGGATTCTGAAAATTGGTGAATTTGATAAGGATGAGGACTTGTGCAAGCCATGTGACAATTGATCCAGTAAATTAACCCATCTTTGTTGGTTGCACTCACCTAAACAACCAGCCCTCTATCTACAGGAATCATGTAGTAAAAAAGTAGCTTTAAAGTTTATCTAGTCCATCCCCTCCCCCTGGTGATGCAGGAAATTCTCTGCTGTTGTGTCTGATGGTGTTAAGTGTTACACGTTAGTGGAGAGATCATGATACTCTGAACTTACTTAGAAGCCCTCTTTCCTAAATGTGTTGTAGGACTCCCAGCCTGGCTGAAGGTGGGAGAGATGGACGCTTGAAAGCAGCAGGTTTAACAGTGTTGAAAGTCACCAGCTGCCACTGGCCTGTCCATAAATCTGCAGGAAGCTAAAATATGCTAATATGCCAGTCATTTACTGCCAATAGCATGAATTGTCTGTTCAAAACTGAACAGAGTTCTGTTTACTATTTAGTTTTAGGAACTGACTACAGTGGTGCCCCGCATGACTACAATAATCCGTTCCGGGAAAAATCTCTGTTAAGCGAAATCGTTGTCATGCGAAAAGCCTTTCCCCGTTGGAATGCATTGAAACTTCGTTTAATGCGTTCCAATGGGGAAAATACCTCATCGTCCAACGAAGATTGCCCATAGGGAAGCCATTTTGTGAGTGCCGATCAGTTGTTAAAATGGCTGCCCTGCGAAGCATGGGTCGGAAAACACAGGGCAGCCATTTTAGGAAGCCGACGATCGTCGGAAAAGTCGTCGTCTTGCAAATAAACGGTTCGCAAAACATGGACCAAAACATCATCAAGCGGAATTCCCCCATAGGAATGACTGTTTTGCGAATCGCTATAGCGATCGCAAAAAGTCATTGTAATGTGGTTTCGTCGTACAGCGGGGTCGTAGTCTAGTGAGGTACCGCTGTACAGTGGTGCCTCGCTTAACGAGTGCACCGTACAACGAAGAATCCGTATAGCGATCCCTTTTTGGGGATCGCTATACGGAGCTGCCCCAATCGCCGCACTCGCTTTGCGATGATTGGGGCGTCCGGCGGCCATTTTGGAGCTGCCGATCAGCTGATCGGCGGCTCCAAAATGGCCGCCGGATGACCCAAAATGGCCCCTGTCAGTGTTTTCACGCCCTCCCCTTGCTTACCGAGGTCGCGAAAACGCTGCGGGGGGCCATTTCGGGTCATCGCTGGAGGGGTAAGTTTTGGCGCCTATTGGAACGCATTAAACTAAGTTTAATGCGTTCCAATAGGCTTTTCCTGCCCCGTACAGCGATGTTTTCGCATAGCGAAGGTTAATCCGGATTAACCTCGCTATACGGGGCACCACTGTATTTGATTTTGTCTTGTGAGTTCTAAGGGTGCAGAAAATGATTAAATTAACTCTTAAAGTGAGAAAGGGAGAATGCAATCCTGCATTCGGATTCTGGAGCTCCTGTGTTGGCACACTTTCCATCAGCTCTAATGGTCGAAAACGGTTGTGTGTTCAGAATGTGATGACTGATGCCAGTGTGGGATTCGTTTTGTTCTTTTTTTTAGTATTTGTATACAGTGGTGCCTCGCTTGACGAGGATAATTCGTTCCGTTGAAATCGCTGTTAAGCAAAATCCTAGTCAAGTGAAACAAAAAAGCCCATTGAAATGCATTGAAAATCGGTTCAATGCATTCCAATGGACTAAATACCTCAGCGTCCAGCGAAGAGCCTCCATAGGACGGCCATTTTGGTGCCTGTAAAGCGAGGAATCCATCCTAAAACTCATCGGGGAGCCATTTTGCACAGCGGGCAGCCATTTTAGAGCCGCCGATCAGTTGTTTTAAAATAGTCGTCTAGCGAAAAATTGGTTCCCGAAACAGGGAAGGGCGCCAAAACAAGTTTTCCCTTCCCCTCCATGCAGGGCTCCTCCTGCACATAACCTGCAACAATTGTTATCAGCCCCTTTGGTTCCGGTTGCAACAGAACCCCATGGGGGGGGAGTCATGCGCATGGGAGGGCAGAGCCCCATCTAGCAGGGCTGAACATTAGAGGAAACATAGGTGGTGGCACCCCTGTGTGGGGGAATTGCTCTTCACGGGTGGCACCCCCGTTGTTGAATACCCCTGACAGGCAGTTCTGGCTGAGGCTTGCTGCGAAGACCCTTGTTTTTACCTTGAGCCTTGGCATGTTGCAGCTTTTAGCTCGGTTTGAGTTTTGCTGCTGCTTCTTTTTCTTTGTTTCCTGTTTCCTTACATTTGTGTCTGAGCTCATCTGATCATTGTTCAGTGCTGCACGAGGAGGTGAACACTCTGAATTTGATGGTTGTCGTGGGTTTTTCGGGGGCTCTGGCCGTGTTCTGAAGGTTGTTCTGCCTGACGTTTCGCCAGTCTCCGTGGCCATGGGCATCTTCAGAGGACAGGATTAGGAACTCTGTCCGTGTTCTGTTGCTGTTTGTTGGATAGTTGAGTATTCATAGCTGTGGGAACAGCTTTTGTCCTTCTCAGGACAATTTCCTTTGTCCTTAGTTTACAGGTACCAGCCTGGATAGCCCAAGTATTTGGTGGTAGAGCCCGTGGTTGGGAGTTCGATTCCCCACTCTGCTTCCTGTGAGTAGAGCCAGCCTGGGGGGCTTGGGGGCGAGCTACACAGTCCCAGGAAGCCCCTCTCTCGCCCAGAGGAAGGGGGATAGGGAAGCACTTCTAACTACTCTGCCTAGAAAACTCTGAAAGGGGTTGCCATAGGTGAGAATAGACTTGACGGCACGCATATGCACACAGGCTAATGGGTAATGTGAGGATAAAATACACAAGTAAACAATATAGCTTTTTGTCTGCTTCCTCCTGAGTGTCTGACTTAAAAGAAGGTGTAAGAAGCTTCTTCAGGAATAAAAATTCACTGTGGGAGGCCGCTTCTTGCATCGGACAGAGTACATCATAGCTTTGGAAAGCTAAGGTGGTAATAAACCACCTAGCCTCTTGTGGTGGTACACAGAACCATTTCTTGTGCTTCAGTCGCCCCTAAGGATTATCTAAGGCACGTCAGGATGGATAGGCTAGTACTGCAGGTTTTCTCTGTTAGTCAGCGTGCTCAATGTGCCATACAAATATTTGTGCATCTTCTTTGGCAGCAAAGTCGAGTCGGAAGCTCACTTTCCTGTACTTGGCAAATGACGTCATCCAGAACAGCAAAAGGAAGGGACCCGAGTTTACAAGGGAATTCGAATCAGTTCTCGTGGATGCGTTTTCACATGTTGCCAGGTAGGTGTTCAGCTGCCTTCCTTCCTCGGGTTTTCCTTTGGTTTGAGGGGATTTTGTTCTGCTTTTGGGAACCTTCTGTCTACGTCATGTACATGATCAGAAATAAGATTACACTAGTACAGGAATCTTGCTGTTAGCTAGTTCAGACCAAATTTGGTGGATTTTGCAGGAGAGGGATTCAGGTAGTTGAGCAGCCTGCACTGGTGCAGATCAGCACTCTGTCACTCTTTTCCAAATTGGGGGGAGGTGTCACCTAACCCCGGAAGTGGAAATGATAATGGAGGTAGAGACCTCTTTTCATTTCCCCACCCCCCACATCAGACAAAGTTTGATTTGTTTGCGCTACAACTGGTTCTGGATGGTTCACAGTTGTCTTCTGCTCTGCTCCCAAGAATGGGCTCCATTTTATTGAGTGATCTAGAACCAGTTGACTGACCAGGGGAGAATTCATCACAGCTTAGATTTTTATTCCCCCCACCTCCTTTTAGCCCACCAAGTGGTACAGAGGTAAAGGTTTCCCTTGACATTTAGTCCAGTCCGACTCTAGTGGTTTAAGACAGTGCCTGTGCTGGCCTCTCAGAATCTTCTAGAGCTACAGGGAAAAGTAACAAAGTTTAGGTTGCCCTGTATGGCGCGTGCTCCGCCCACCAAAGCTCCAGTTCCATTTTTCCGCCCGCGGAGTTGGAACCTCTCGATTAGAGCTGTGTTATTTTTGCCTTTTTCTACGAGCTTTCTGACTTGGATTGGTATCTCAACCTTCCTTATCGCTGTTGCCCTGACCTCGGACCGTCTTTTGACTTCTCTTCTGCCTCTGGCGATTCGCAAGTACTCTAAATAGCTTAATTGTGACCTCTTTACCACCCGCTGAGGCGCCACGCGCCTTCCGGACTTTTTCTATTACCGTTTCCCGCTTCTATCAGCCTATGCCACCTAGGAAACAAATGTCTCCTAAGAGAGGGCCTTTTCGACACTGCTCCTCTTGCTGAAGAAAGCTTCCCTTTCAAGACGGACATTCCCTCTGTCTTTTTTGTTTGGGAGAAACTCATTCGGTCACTCATTGCAAACATTGTAAAGAGTTCACTAAAGTTACCCTCAAGGCTCGCCAGCAGCGCTTGAAATATTCGCTCTGGAAACAGACCTTGTCTGCTTCTCAGCCTTCTGACATGGAATCCGTTCCCTCGACCTCCTCAATCCGTTCTGAAGTTAGAGTGGTTACTTCACCAACTCCTGAACCCTCTAAGGAAAAGACTAAAGACAAGCCTAAGAAAAAAACCTCTACAAAGAAATCACTTACCAGTACATCTGCTCCGGCTGCGTCCTCCAATCCAGTGATGCCTCAGCAGCTAAAACAGAAAAAGACCACTGTTAAGCTGAAATCAAAGTCTAAGGAGATTACTTTGGTCGTCCCTCCGGTCTCGACATCTCTTCCTTCACCTATACTTGGCCCTCCGGTCTCGACGTCTCTTCTTTCACCTATACTTGAGGATTCGTCCCAAGATCGCGATTCGACGTCGGAAATGGGGGCCTCTCTACCTCCCCAGCAGGAGCCTCCTGTCGTTGTCGAGAGGTCACCAACGGCTAGCCAGGGATTCGTCCCAAAACCGCAATTCGACGTCGGAAATGGGTGCCTCTCTACCTCCCCGGCAGGAGCCTCCTGTTGTTGTCGAGAGGTCACCAACGGCTAGCCAGCTAGTTCAGGCTATTGCTGGCATTACCAATGCCCCTCATAGCCCTGTTTTAACCGGGCGGGCGTCTAGATCCCGATCTTTGACACCGGGATCTCTTGGCTCCAAGTCTCCATATCCATCCCCAAGGAGACCTGAGATGCCTCTGTATGTTCCCTCTCCTCGACGCCCAGCGTCGGATCACGATGAGGAACCTCCTCTGAAAAAACCTCGGCGCCATCACAAGCGCAGACATGGATCTGGCGTTGATAGACGGAAAAAGCATCGGCGTCGAGACTATTCTTCCTCCGACTCCGACGATAGTGTCGAGAGGAGATCATGCCACCGACGCCGACGGAGGGATTTCTCATCTGAGTCCACCTCGACATCGAGGGACCGCAGAAGGAGGAGAAAGAGGACGCGTTATACCTCTTCATCCTCCTCTGTTTCACCTCCAAGAAAGCATTGACACAAGCGCTCCAATGTCGATAAGCAGAGACCTTTGACATCGACCGAAAAGGGGGCCTCCACATCGACAACTCAAAAACCTGATGCTGCTCCTGCAGAGCCTCAACCTCCTCAACCTCCTCTGCCGCAGAAAAAGCTCAGAGGTGCCCCTCAAGGACAGCATCCCAGCGTCTTTCCCACCTCTGATGAGGAGAGTCAAGCATCCCAAACTTCCTTTGATCAAGAAGAGGAGGTTACGTCTGAAACCTCTTTAGAAACACCCCTTCCAGGGGAACCTTTGGGATCGGATGCTGCTGATATCCACCCATCCTCCTCATCTGAGGATTTTTCATCCTATTCCCAGATGGTTTCTCGAATGGCTACCACCCTAAGGCTAGAGATAGAAAAATCGCCTACACGTGAAGATGACCTAATTTTTGGTGACATTAATAAGGAGAGATCTCACCCTGTTAGTCTATCTTATGTACCTGAATTGCTAGACCTCATTATGGAATGTTGGGAGCACCCTGCTAATTCCACATCTGTGTCGAGAAGGACTGAAAACTTATACCGTATCCATGGCCCTAAGACTTCTTTCCTATTGAATCATCCTGCTCCAAATTCCCTGGTAGTCGAATCCAGTGCATCCAGGATTCCTACTAAGGGCCATGCAACTCCTACTAATAAAGAAGGCAGGAAATTAGAGGTTTGGGGGCGAAGACTGTATACAGTGACAACCTTCGCCATAAGGGCACTGAATTATTTGGTTGCTATGGGCGCGTATCAGAAACAGCTTTGGGCTAGGGTGCTGCCAGCTCTACAGGTAGCGCCGGAAGATATCAGACAAATGTGTCTTAACACACATGCTGAGGCACTGACTGTTTCTAAGCATCAGCGTTTAGCTTCGTGACATGTTGCTGATGCCACTGCTAAGAATCTTGCTTCTATAATCACCCTAAGAAGGCATGCTTGGCTTAGATCAGCCAACATCGTGGATGATATTAAGACCAGAATCGAGAACTTAACATTTGATGCTTCTGGTCTGTTCAGTGAGAAAACTGATGAGAAGCTTGAGAACCTCCATAAGAGCAAAAAGACAGCAAGGTCTTACTCCATACAGCAGCAACCTAGGGGGACCAAATTCCAATGACGTCCCAAGTTTTCTCAGCAGTCATACCAACAATCTACACCATCATCTTACCGTTCCTTCCTTAACCAAGGTCAGACTCGGTCTTCATAGGCCTCTTCGTCTACAGCTAGCTTCAAACCCCAGTCCAACAAACGACAGTCTTACAAATCGTCTGGACAAAAGTCCAAGCAATATCTTTGACTTGACCAAGACTATCTCAAAGGCGCATCACAGAACCCGCCTATCTCCTCATCTCCAGAACTGGTACAAGATAACGCAGGACTCATGGGTCTTGAACATTATAAGCTCCGGCTACCGGCTGGAGTTTATAGAATTGCCTCCTCTAGGATGGATCAAGTCTACATCATTCGATCCCATCCTAGAAGAAGAGATTCTTGCCCTCCTAGCAAAACAGGCCATCCAAAAGGTTCCACTTCGAGACATTCAAAACGGGTTTTACTCCTGGTACTTTACAGTACCGAAGAAGGACAGCGGCCTCAGGCTAATACTGGACCTGAGGGACTTGAACACCTACCTCAGACCTTGCCATTTCAGGATGGTCACACTGGAGGGAATCATTCACCTGCTGAAGAAAGGAGATTGGTTTGTGGTGGTGGATCTAAAAGATGCGTATTTCCACATCACAATTCATCAGAAATACAGGAAATACTTGCGTCTAAGCTTTATGGACACCATTTGTCAGTATGTGGCTCTCCCCTTCGGTCTCTCCACGGCACCGACGACCTTCACCAAGTGCATGGCTCTGGTGGCTGCTTACCTGCGTCTACAGGGGATCCAAATTTATCCTTACATCGACGACTGGCTGATTGTGTCCAGATCCAGGGGAGAAGCAGTCAAGGACACTCAACAAGTTCTTCACACCCTGCAAGCCTTGGGTCTTACCATAAATTATGACAAGTCTCATTTAGAGCCTTCGCAAGTGATGGACTGTATAGGGGCATGTAGCGAGCACGTTTGGACTCTCTGCCTGCTCGCATGTTTCTACCTCCCGAATATATCCAGAAGATCAGGAAGGCAGTTCAAAAGTTCAAACCCAATGGCAGAGTCTCAGCACAGCTTGCGCAACGTCTGCTGGGTCTCATGGCATCGACAACCTGCGCCCTACCCCATGCGCGCCTCAAGATGCGCTCACTCCAGTCTTGGCTACTCGCCCTATTCGATCCTCTGCGAGAACGTCAACACAAGCGACTGAGGGTCACACCAGAGCTAGCATATCAACTTCACTGGTGGACATTCCCACCACATCTTTTGATAGGACGACCTTTTCGACCCCTGCAGTTAACACGACAAGTGACAACAGACGCCAGCTCCCTGGGTTGGGGAGCCCACTGCGGGAGACATCAAATTCATGCCCTTTGGTCCCCTCGAGAAGCCTCACTCCACATCAATCACCTGGAGTTAATAGCAGTTATAAAGGCACTCAGAGCGTTCCTCCCCCTGGTGAAGGGCAGAGCAATACAAGTGGTCACAGACAACGCCACGACCATGTTCTATGTGAACAAGCAAGGGAGGACACGGTCGAAGTCTCTTCTGTTTCTGGCTGTCCACCTATGGGAGTGGTGCTACCAGCAGCACATCTTCCCGTTGGCCATTCACATCTCCACGACAGACAGTCAGCTGGCGGACGAACTGAGCCACTGCTCGTTCCAATCTCACGAGTGGGAGGTAGATCAGGAAGTGTTTCTCAGCCTGTGCCACAGGTGGGGTCGACCAGTCATAGACATGTTTGCGACACTGACCAACAAGAAATGCAAAAGGTACGGCTATCGTGCAGGAAGGGGCAAAGGCTCTCTGGGGGATGCCTTTATGATTCCATGGAACAAAGGACTGCTGTATCTCTATCCACCAGTACCTGTTCTGCAAAAGGCCCTGATCAGGACTCTTCAGATGAAAGCGGAGGCAATCTTCGTTGCTCCCTGGTGGCCTCGACAGCCATGGTTCTCCATGCTTCTCCGGTCAGCGGTGGACAGGATGACATTGCCATGTCGACCACATTTGATCACTCAGGACGAAGGGAAACATCCTTCACCCGAACTTGGAATCCCTCCACTTGACAGCGTGGAGGATTTTCCATCATTAACAGAAGTCATTGACAAAGCAAGAAAGCCAGCCGCTAAATTACTGTACAAGTACAACTGGCAGGGTTTCCTGAAATTTGCAAAAGAACACAGGTTACAACCTTCTCCTGTAGCCTTATCTACTCTTCTCCTTTATCTTTGACATCTTTTCGACTTAGGACTGTCCAAATCTACCTTAAAAGTTTATACCTCAGCCATCGTCGCTTTCCAACCTCCTAGCTCTGAGTCATCTCGGTGGTTTTCACACCCAACTTTGAAAGCCTTCTTTAAAGGTTTGTCCAACATGAGACCTCCTTTGAGAAAACCAGTACCACAGTGGTCCTTGCAAACAGTGCTACATTGTCTCATTCGACATCCTTTTGAGCCAATGGCCTCATGTGACCTCAAAATGCTTTCACTTAAGACTTTATTCCTAGTTGCCATCACGTCTGCTCGTAGAGCTAGTGAATTGGCCGCACTTTGTGCAAACTCTCCGTACCTTCAGTTTTTTAAAGACAAGGTGGTGCTACACCCTGACGTTACATTTCTCCCCAAAGTTGTTTCCGAGTTCCATGTTAACCAACCTTTGGTGTTACCGACGTTGTTTCCTGATGCAGTTACAGATGTTGAGCGCATGCTCCATTCTTCAGATGTTCGAAGAGCATTAGCTTATTATGTCACTAGAACTAAGGACTTTAGGAAAGTTCTGAAACTGTTCCTCTGTTTCTATGGTCAGCATAAAGGTTCCGCTGCCTCATCTTCCACCCTATCCAGATGGTTGGTCTTCACCATTGCTCTGGCCTACGAATTGCAGAATAAGCCTATTCCCGAGGGTCTCAGAGCTCATTCCACCAGAGCTTTCGCCACATCGACGGCCCTGCTGCGAGGAGTTGACATCCAAGAGATTTGTAGAGCAGCAACCTGGTCCAACGTGTCTACCTTTGTTACACATTACAAGCTGGACCTACGGGCCAAGAATGAGACCAAATTCGGGAGGGCTGTACTTACTTCACTTCTGCAGTGACGGCGCGCCATCCGGTAAGTGAGCTTGCTAGTCACCCACTGGTGTGGATTCATAGAGATCCACTTGAAGCACCATGTTTACGGGTAAGTAACCTGTCCTTCTTCAACGTGGTCTCTATGAATCCACACCAGTGGGTGAAGACGGCGCCTCCGCTGGCCTCTCAGAATCTTCTAGAGCTATAGTGAAAAGTAACAAAGTTTAGGTTGCTCTGTATAGCGCATGCTCCGCCCGCCAAAGCCCCAGTTCCATATGCCCGCCACATGGAGAGCGTTGGAACCCACTCAACAGTGACGGACATAGGGGGAGGTTGGGCGGGATGTGTGTATTCATAGAGATCCACTTGAAGAACCATGTTTACAGGTAAGTAACCTGTCCTTTCTGGACATTGAAATACTCCATTCGAAAATTTGCTGTGACCACTTTGTACATCAGGAAGAAATGGTGATGGGAAGAGAGTAGACCATGGCTTCTTACCTCATCGGTTGCAGCTGCTGCCTTCTGTTTAGAGCATTACCTAACAGCCCTCCATCATGATACCTAATTACACAAAAGCCCCTATTCATGGGATTTCTCTCCTGGAGGTGGGGCAATCCAATCAAGCCAACAGGATGTGTGTGCCTCAGGTGTTACAGAATGCATCCTGTGTCCTTTGCAATGAATGGTAGAGGACAGGCCATGTGGGAAACAGGCTGCATGGAGCAGAGGTTGCTTGTAGAACAGAGAAAATGTGGTTACAGTGGGATTTGCCAGCTCAGGCGTTGCCTGCTTGCCCCTGTGTATCTGCATCAAGAGCCTGATGGAGGTTGCTCAATGTAAACCTGCATTTGCTTTCTGCGTGTTAACTGGGCCCTATATTTGATCCTCATGTGTGAGATAAATGTTCTTGGATTTTAGCAAATCTGCCTTCCCTTTGATCTGTTACTTGAGGAGTTATAACTGTGGCAAACAGAGTATCTGTTGGAGTATTCCCTTTAGAAACCTCGGGTTTTACTCACAGATTCCTCACTGGGAGCCTTTCTGCAATTGCTAGTTATTCCACGTGCCTTCACTCTGTCTAAACACTATTTTAAGTAAGGTCAGCTTCTCAAATGGTATGGATTTATCAGATTTTTTTACCTCCCCAGATTGCCTTTCTGCCTGGCTCACTCCATCTGTCTTCAGGCGACTATTCTCTTACTGTGGGGCAAACTACCAATGCACAGCTATGTGTCATTTCCTGGCATGTAATATGTTATCAGCTTGTTAAAGGCTGTGGTGCTATTTAGAGAGGGTTTTAAGGTCTTAAGGACTGATGATATCTAGCTCAAACAAAGGAATAGGTGTGCCTTTGTGTTACTCTTCTACTCTTTATGTATGCTGTGAATGTTACTAAACAAATCTGGGCCTTTTAAAACCATGTTTTTTAATTCAGGTGCCTGTGAATTACAGCTGGATGAGCATTTCTCTTTAAAAAATCTAGCTGCTCGCACTTCGGCTTTCCTAGTTATTTTGCCTCTTTGCCTGTCTCTCAGTGTTACTGTAGGAAGGACGTTCTGTTAGTGCCCTCTGCCCCAAACATCGCCTTTTCGGTTTGTGTACACCTTTTTTCCCACCTGTTTCTGACATACTTAAATTTTTCACCTTCCAGAGAAGCAGACGAGGGCTGCAAAAAGCCCCTGGAGCGATTGCTGAACATCTGGCAAGAGAGGAGCGTGTATGGCAGTGAGTTCATTCAGCAGTTGAAACTGTCTATGGAAGACTCGAGTAGCCCCCAACCTAAAGGTAAAAAATGTGCTTGTTTTTCACAGAAAAAAAACACACACACCTGTGTTTGGATTGGGTTTAGCATGTTTTAAATCAATTTTATAAAAGGGACTATGTGATACACGTGGGCCTGTGGATTCTTTTGACAGGGAATCGTGTTATTTGACTGAAAGCGAGATATTTAACTCTTCCGCCAGAGGTTTATTTAAATTTGGATGTCAGATCGATTGAATTTGAATAGATTCGACATGTGGATACATCTTTTGGTGTAAATTGAGTGTGTAGGGATTGCCGTTCACTCCTCCATATCCACGTCTCTGTTTCCCAAGCTTACTCATCTCTGATCAGTTTCGGACCTGTCCCTACCTTTCCTGTGTATCTGTCTGTCTCCATGTGTGTGTTTCAGGCTGTGGGGAAACCTCTGTTTAGTTTGTTTTTCTAACTGTCATTCTGTTCTAGCACTGTTCCAGATTGCAGTCAATCAACCAGTCAATCAATAAACACCACAGCAGCAGCAAATGGCTGTGAGAGGCAGCCAGCGTGAGGGCGGCAGGCAGGCACAGGACAAAGCTTCAGATGCAACGCTTCTGACAGCCCATGTAGCTCCCTTGACCAATATACAACACCGCTTAAAATATGGATTAAATATTTTCCCGAGGGGATGCACAGGACAGCACAAAAACCATGTGACTATCACATGACTTTAAAGTGAATTCAGAATCTCTGATCCATCACCCGATTTATTTCATTAGTGTAACCACCCTTAGGCTTAAGGATTGAGCTTGCTGTGTAGTCAAGGATGGTTTTTGGCAGATTATTCAAAACATTACCTTTCCCTATTTAATAGGAAATTCCCATCCAGCTGGTTGGGTGGGGGCCATAGGAGAATCTGTTTCTTGTCCAGAGTCCATTTCGACTTACTGGCCTTTATTCAAGCCATTATCAAGGCCTGGCGGCGCTCAGGGACCTGGACTACATCTCCTGCAAAGGATGTAGAGGAGAGATAGAGCTGCATGTCAAAACTCTGGATGACTCCTCCAAACAGCTTCATGTACATATTAAAAAGCATTGGGGAGAAAATTGTCTCCCGTAAGAACCTATAATGCAGGACCCACAGAGTCAAAACAGCCTCCCCGAGCTAATAATTGTGTTCTAAAGCTTGCTGATTATGATTGATGCCCATATGGCCATCAGTGTACAAAATAATTCCAAAATTGTAGGTCCCTGTCTTAAGGAGCCTAGACTCTGCATTTCACTTTGGGAAGGAGGGTTAGAAAACATTTTATGACAAGATAATACCCACATGTGTGTTTGCTCGTGTTTAAGCTTTGCTCCAGCCAGGTATTCGGAGTGGAGGCCTGAGGGATTTAGTCTCTGAAGTTTTGAGGAACTGATCGTGGCTTTTGAGTCAGAGGAAAGTATCCTGGCTCTGTCCACTCTCTGTATCATTCCTGTATAACAAACTTAATCGCTGTCCTGAAACTAAAGCAGGAAGGGTCATCAAACGAGAAAGGAAATCTGACCCAGCCACCTTGTCTTGCGGACTAGATCAACTGCAAGGTGTGGTTGCCAAAAGCGTTCTTCCCAGTGGGCATTCTCAGATATTTACCTTTTGTCAGAATCTTTAATCATGTGGGGTTTTTTTTCCTACCTCCCAGATGCCTAGGAAAGATGCCCTTGGTTTGTCTCAAGTGTTTAGTTGGAAGATCTGGGCAGGGTGAGGAAAAGAGCCTGTCGTTTCAGGACGCTTCCATTTGTGTTCCAAAAGCCGGCCAGGAACACCCGACCCCTTGGTAGAGGAGGACAGCAAAATGTGTTCTGACCGGCTCGAGCACCGTCTTTCTCACCGAGTATCCAGATACTGCTGCCTTTTTCTAGACAAGGTTCCTGAGGACGGGTCACTCTTCCCTTGCCCTCTCGCTGTTCGCCATCTGTATCTAGTCTCCCAACTGCCAAAACATTGCAGATTGGTTCATAGGAAGGGAGAGGGGGAGCTTTTTTCTTGCAAAAACCTGCAGGAGAAGCCAAAAAAAGAAAAAAAAACCCCAAAGCTGGAGGATCAGAGAAAACACCCATCCTCCAAATGCCTTCGGAGAGCACGGTTTCTGCTCTGGTCTCCCTGTTTCTTTGTCTGCCTTGCCTGTCAAGCAGGAAGACTAAAAAAAACCCGCTGCCTTCACAGCCTGGAGATCACCCCGAGTCTGGTGTCCAGCTGTTACAGTGGCATGGGCCCAAAGGCCTTTGGTCACCTCATTTATTTATTTTAGTTTATTACATTTATACCCCGCCCATCTAGACCAAAGGTCTACTTTGGGCAGCATTACAAATTTAAAAGCAGTAAAACCAATAAACATGCAATAAATCCAAGATGGTAAAATGTAAATTTAAGATACAGCAGGAGGGAAGCAGCTCTTCCTCTTTAGACCTGTTTCTGAGGGGCTGGAAAAGCAGGAGGCGGAGGCGGCGCAGAAGTGCAGAAAATGCCTGACTGGTCCCCAGCATGTTGTCACTTCCCCCCCCCCCCAAGGTATTTGGATGTTTATAGCTTCGGGGCATTCGGTAATGTCTGTGAGTTCGTCCGTGCCCAGTCACCTAAAGGCTGCAAACTCAACTCTCTTTGGTTTGAATCCTGTCAGATTGTCTGAAGTGAGCTATTCTTAGTGGCTGTGCAGTCCTTTTCAAAGGGAACAGACTCCTGGCCTGGCAAGCTGCCACCTGAACAGCCTCCCAGGTGATCAGACTAGACCGGCCTGGCATCCCCAAGACATCCGTTGACCTTAAGATTGGCTGCCAGTCAAGAGGAGGGCACTGTACGGCTCTCTGTAGGAAAGCAGGGCTGCCAACATGTTGAGTCTTTCCTCGTGCCTTTCTGACAAATACAGTTTGGGGATCTGTTGGCAGCTGTGTGCAACACTAGGCTTCCTGGCGCCCGTCATGGGCTTGGAGAATGCACAGACCCTTGGTTTGTTCTGCTTTTCCCCACCGCTCCCCTCTTCTCCCACTCTTGGTATGGTGAGGCATAGTGGGCTGACGTTATGATGTTATTGGCTGTTTTGCGCCTATGCCTGATTCCTTGCCAGAGAATTTTAGAACCCAGATTTGGCCAGTAACATGCTGTAAAGTTTCGCAAGCCCATGTGCGGTGGTCACGTGAAGTAAGAAAGCAAGAAAGGAAGCACATTTTTTAAAGAAATAAGGGAAATAACTGGATTAAATATTTAAATGTCCCCGTCAATGGCTTTATTGAATTTGGTTAAGAAGGATCAATTGTTGAAGCAAAATAAGGACTTAATAGTAATAATGATTACGGCAGCAAGGAAAAATGATAACCAACTCAGTTTAGAGGAATGGTATAGAGAACTATGGGACATGGCAATTAATGATAAATGGACATGTGATATGAAAATAAGAAGAGGCCTATCAAAAAAATAATGATTTTAAGAAAATATGGAGTGTATTCTTGGAATATGTATTTCGGAGAGGGAAGGGGTAAACGCAGAGGGAAGAAACAATAATGTTTTGGAGAGAAAATGGATTGAATGAAATTTAAAAATATTATGAATGCTTGTGGTTGTTCTGGGTTTTTCGGGCTCTTTGGCTGTGTTCTGAAGGTTGTTCTTCCTAATGTTTCACCAGTCCCTGTGGCCCGCATCTTCAGAGGACAGCACTCTGAATGCTTGACGGAGCTTCCTCTTGATTCACTTTTCCACTTGGCTGTTCTTCACGTGTTGTTCAACCTCGTGCGAGCTGTTCTTTTTGCAAGCCTCATTTCAGTTTAAGCCGGAGGTGGGCCAACAGCCGTCTGTGGACTGGTGGGTGGGGGTGCTCTCTGCCACCACCACCACCACCCCGGATTCTAAATTTATTGATTTTCCAAAGGATTTACCTGGAAATTCCTCCTTGACCCCTCCAGGGGACATGAGAGAACCATTTGAGGGTGTTAGAGGCCACAGCACTCCTGTCCCCACGCCTCTGGATTCTACGGAAGAAGAAGCATATGTGCGTGAGAGGGGTCTTTCCATTTTTTAAAATTCCCCTTTGAGAGAGACGTGCTAGGAAAGGAGACGCAAGTGTGACATGAGAAGACCTCGGACCTCTGAAAGTTGCCCAGTTCCATTTTAAGCGAAACTGTTTAACTGGTGTGAAATTGAAACCTGGGGCCGAATAGAGGAGTATGTTGGACTCTTCCCTGAGGGCCAAAGGGACGAAGCAAGGATGGACGTAGCTGTGTGAGATCGTGGCTTCATGGGAAGAGCTGTAGGCATTTACTCCCTGCGTTTCCTTGTCCCTTGCCATCCACTCCTTGTGAAGATGGGACACTTTGTCTTTCTTAAGCAGCTGCTGAAAAGGCATTCTGAATTGATTTGAAAATCAGAAATTCTCCTTTGGCAAGAGAAGGCAACTCTAGCCTTCTGCCTAGTTGTTGAATGAATACCAGGCACTTATTACTCGGAGAAAGTAGTTTTTGTGCTGGCAGGGTTCCATGGGGGAAAAAACATTTTCTAAAACCCTCCTATTTGACCCTCTGTGGGAATTGGATGTGGAGAAGATGTTAGTCATGGTGTCGAGTCAGACGATCTGACACTGGACAACTTCCTAAGAGCTTATAGACCTCTAGGAAAAAGAAAAACAAAAGCCTGTGCTGCACAACAGGTGATATTTATCCCTGGAAGGGTTAATTCCATAATGAAACCAGATAACTCTTTCCAGTCATGTCAAAATCCCTCTGGGTATCAATGTAAAATAAGTAGTTTCCTTATTGCAATGATGCCAGGAAACATCCACTTGTCAGTTTTTATAAGTACTGTCTACATTGCCTCTGTGTCCCATCGGCATAGAAAATACTTCAGTGTTGTAAAGAAAAAGCATGTAGGAACCAATGTTTAAGCTGAAATCCATTTGTGCAGCTTTTGAAAAGCTGCAGGAATGATGGCCATCCAAACGTCTTACAGCTCTAAAAAGTTGCAAATAAGAAGTAATCCAAAAATGAAACTTAGGTTGTAGGCTGAATTTAAATTAGAAAAATTCATTTCCTTTATAAGCTTTTAGCTGTGTCACAGAGAAGAACTTAAATCATATTTCAATTCAAAATGCAGAGAATCTATTTCTAAAACACATAATTAAATGTTTAAAAAAAGCATTATACTTTTTAGCAGTCTTTAGCCTTTAAGCATATTACTCAGCACACGTGAAAAATATTCTAAGGGCTCAATCATGATTTCTTTGCTGCTGGTGATACTACTATATGATGCCTGATGCTCTTTGGTGTCTGTGCTATTGGTATCCAGTGTGTGCATTTCATTGCATGTTTCTTGCCTCCCTGCATTTATATTTCTCCCAGTTGTTTACGTTTCCTTTCAACTGTAAACACCTGAATTTTGCAGTTTAGTAAGTTACTGATCTCTATAAATAGTCAGAATAGTTTTAATAAAAAATATCTTTTTGGCAGCCTCATAAAATATGAGACTGGCAGGTTGCCACTCTGGCAGTTAATAGCCTTTATTTTGATTAACACGGTCCTGGCATTTGGGGAAATAATAAGTTACTTGAGTATGGTTATACTTGGCAGACAAAATCCCAGGAGCATAAGTGCTAGTGAACTGCATTAGTAGGGGACCAATTGGCTCTGTCCGCAGTTTAGAACTCGAGGATTCCACCCTCCCACGCCTTTATTTTTGTTTTCTTATCGGTTGCTTATCCTCAAGTGTTAGGTATGAAATAAGTTCTTTCGTAAGGCAACGTTACTGTACGGTGTCCTGGCTTTCAAACTTGGCAGGAGAGCTGATGGTTTTGCAATAAGGTAAAGGTAAAGCTTCCCCATGACCTTTAGTCCAGTCGTGTCCGACTCTAGGGTGCGGTGCTCATCCCTGTCTCCAAGCCGTAGAGCCAGCGTTTGTCCGAAGACTGTTTCCGTGGTCACGTGGCCAGCATGACTAGACACGGACTGCCGTGACCTTCCCACCAAGGTGGTACCTATTTATCTACTCGCATTTTTACATGCCTTTGAATGGCTAGGTTGGCAGGAGGTGGGACAAGTGACAGGGGCTCACTCCCTTGCATGGATTCGATCTTACTACGGCGGGTCTTCCGACCTTGCAGCACAGAGGCTTCTGCAGTTTAACCTGTTCGAGCCTCATCTTCAAAGCACAATTTACATTTTCAGAGTTGTAATTTTTTCACAGTCCACTTAATGGTTTTAACACTGTACAAAAACTCCAACCTTGACCATGGCTGTTATTCAGAGAAGAGCAGGACATTTGCATTGCTTAGCAGAGGGTGAGCAAGAGGGGGCTTCAGTGGTGGACTGGCCTTGCTGGCCAAGGCAAACTTTGCAGCCAACAGTCCAGAGGGCCCTCCCACAGAAAAATTTAGGGCACGTTCCTCTTCATGATCAGCTCCTTCAGGTGCCATCTTAGGGAGATGAAATAAGAGTGCTGCATCTGTCTGGAAGCTGGAGCACTGTCTCCATCTGGTCTTATTCTGGCCTTGTGGTATCCATGCAGCCTGCTCTTCACCAGGAGACCATGTCAGGGCAGCGTGTGAGCCGTCTTGAGGAGATGACTCCCTGTTTATGGTCCCAACATAAGGGACATCAGAAGAAGGGCCCTGCTGGATCAGGCCCAGGGCCCCTCTAGTCCAGTATCCTGTATCTCCCAGTGGCCCCACCAGGTGCCTCGGGGAGCGCACGAGACCACGAGAGACCTGTCTCCTGATCCCCCTCCCCTGCATCTGGCCTTTGGAGGTCCCTTCCTTTGAAGCCTGGACAGTTTTGTTTCGGATGCCTCGGCTGTGGCTAACATCATCCATTGCTAGAAAGACCTTGCTTCTTGCTTTTGAAATGACGAAGGTATTTAATGGCCCCGGTGAACAGTCCCCGGGCACAGTACCAGGGCAGATAGAGGAAAGTCTCACGGACATGTACTCTTGATTGCTGCTCAATCTGATCGGCGGGTTGGGAAGTGTACAGGGGTTGGCTTGGCACAAACCATGATTTTCAAATTTGCAATCCTTTGGCTTCCATCTTCTAAAGGAAAAGAAACTGTCCCTTGGTGTTCACCCCACCCAGCCCCCCACAAAGTCTACAGCATTTGTGACTTTTGGTGTCTGGTCTCAGTTACAGAGGAGAAGAAGTCCTTGAAGCGGACATTTCAGCAGATACAAGAAGAGGAAGATGACGATTACCCTGGGAGCTACTCCCCACAGGATCCCAACACTGGGCCCCTTCTGGTATGTCTGGAAGTTGGGGGCTGGATAAGATCATTAACCCCCCTCCCAAGCAGGTGACACCATGAACTACTGCAGTGAAACAGTCAACAGCCACTAGTAATATTTATTTGTGTAAAATAATTGGATCTTGGAAATTGAAGAAGAGTACAGAACACAGGAAGAAGGAACATAAAGCAAATACTAGTCCATAAAGTCACAACATTCAAAGCAAACTAAAGAAAATTGCTCAAAGCAAGGAAGTCTGTTGCAAGCCAGCAGGGAGTGACTTAATTTATATAGCTAATAGATCATTCCAGGAAGTTCATTAAACTTAGATTTCCTGCCTGCTGAGCTGTAAGGCTGCCTCCCAGTTCTTTGTTCTGAAAAAGAAAGGTCCTTCAAATTTTTTGTGCTTGCCATTTGGTTTCTGGATGGTTTCTTAGAATTTTTAGAGAAGCAAATATTGACAGAACAGATACCAGCGTGCACAGGCCTGCTGCATTGGAAACATCAGGGAGCCCATTGCAGGACGGCGTGCTGCCGTGCATGACGTGGGCAGAGAGCTGACTAGTCCAGGATGAATCAAGATTTAGAAGGGCCTTCAGTAATAGCTCTGAAAGGCTGGACATTCAGGCTGGGGCCTGGAACGAGGGAGGAGGTCCCACTCAGATTTTTTTGGACTCCCAACTCCCAGAATTCTCCATTCTGGGAGATCCATGTGACAGACCACATTACAGATGTCTAACTTTTACCCACCTGGAGAGAAGCCTGATGCGAAGGCTCAGTGGCCTAGTTTCTTCCTAGCTTCCTGTTAAAAATTGAGTTGGCATTTTAAAAAAAATCATCATGGCATCTCTCTGCCTAGAAGTCTTTCTCTGGCTTGTCTTTTGGTGGAATAAAAGCTAGAATCTCAGAGAGTAGATAAAATGTTATTTGTAGGTGGGATCCCCATGCAAAATGCTTTTTCCAGCAGCTTCTGTGGCACCACTTATGGCTTACATAGTCTTGGTGCCCGGGGGGGGGCTTCTTTGTGGCCTCGCAGGTTGGAACAGTGAGATCCTTGTCCTTCTGGGCTCTGTTTGTGCTGAATATGCCATCCCTGTTTTGAGAAGGTGGGAGAAGCATGGGCAAATGCTATGTAAATGATTGTTCTGCATACCAGAAACCTTCCCGTATAGTGGTATGCCAGATATAATTCCCTATGTGATGGAAAAGGGAGGAAAGCGCTTCCGTGAGGTGTCCCCCTCTCTTCCCTTTCCATACTGAGAACGGCAGTTCTCTTGATCTGCTCTTAGCGGTAGATATTCCAGCCAAAGCAGTAGTGGAGTACAAACCCTGTAATCCCTGTTTAAAATAGTGGAGACTTGTAGGGCCATTTCAAGAGGACTTAGGACAGGAATAATTCCCGACAGCTCAGCTTATTCTCTGCCAGGAACATCAGAGGCAACTGCTGGATTAGCCTAGTGATTTCTCTAAACCAGTATTCTGTTCCCCAAAGTGACGAACTAGCCTCTAAAATTATGCTGCTTACATACCATCCCATAGTGCTTAAAGCACTCTCTGGGTGGTATGCAATTTAATTATGCGGGCTACGCATTGCCCTCTTCTCCCCCCACCCCCCGGGGCAAGCTAGATACTCAATTGACCAACCGCAGAAGGATGGAAGGCTGAGGTTTTAAAATAGAGAACCGCTTCATATTGCTTTTATTGTTATACTCTAAGATCTTAAGCTATAGAGTAGTATATAAATGGCTTAAATAAAGGCTTAAGCCAGTGTTATTCTTGTGTGCAGAAACACAGCAGCTGATTGCGGTCCTCATTAAGGTCTCCCCGCTCTCCTTTCCGAAGGGGCAGGCAAGGGCACCATTAGAACTCTGATCCGTTGGGGATGGTGAGCAAGGCTTGTTGCCTTTTTTAGATGCCACAATTCTCCTTGTTGACTGGAGCACTGCAAGAACACTGGGAATGAGATGTTTTGCTGGATTACCGATGCCCAGAAGTGGTTTTTGTAAGGACAGCAAAACAACTGTTGGAGGCTGTTTTTCAACTCCAAAAGAATTGTTTCTAGAAGCAAGTGAACTAGCTTAGGAAATGTAGGACTGCAGAGTGCTGAAGGCTCTTTGAAACGTGGCCGTGGCTTGCAGAGGTACCCGTGGAGTGACTGTGGTGCTGCAGAGTGGTGACTGTGGCCTTCTTCTGCAGACCGAGGACTTGATCAAAGCCCTGCAAGACCTGGAAAATGCAGCCTCCGGAGACGCCACCGTGCGGCAGAAGATTGCCTCTCTCCCCCAGGAGGTCCAGGACGTGTCGCTTTTAGAGAAGATTACAGGTGAGACTCTAAATCGCCCTTGAGTGCCAAGCGTGTGGCAGGAGTTTTTCCGTACCTGGAAGGTGGCATCCAGATGGGCCTCGCAGACGGGCTGCTGTTTCATCCTTGGGGTTGGCCCAGTCTGGACTGGAAGCGGACGGCTCCTTGCCCTCCCCAACACCAGCCGGCTTGCCCTACCCAGTTCACTCGCTTTGGGGACTGCCGTGGGTCAAGGGGGTCATTACACTTTCCTCATTTCTCAGGGAAATGGACGGTTCCCTCTCTTCTCAGGCCAGGCCGTTGCCCTGTAAGGGGAAGCACGTAGAGTGTGGTCAGGGCAGAGCTTCGAAGAGGTTAGCGCCGGTGAAGGCTTGCTCTTTACGGTGCCTCCCCAATGAAGGTGTGTGGTGGCTTCCCTTCTGGACCTTGGGAAGGGTCGTCTGAGCAGAGCCCACCAGGCAGAGGGGCTTCAGTTGGTGGGACCCGATGCTAGATAACGGGTGGGCGGGCAGGGCTCTCTAGTGAGTCAGGTCCCTGGGGTACCTGGTCTGGCACTCTGACACTCTCTCGTGGGCCCCACCCCCAAAGGGAGGAGAGCAGCTGGCTGGCATGTAGTTTTACTGCAGCGCCCTCTCTGCAGGGAATGTGCCGGATCTCGAGAGGGTGTTTGACTTCCCTAGGAGTCCTCCCAAGAGGGATGGAACTCCTGGGCGAACAACAGAAGCCTGTAGTTCCTCATAGCTGACCTTATTCCAGTAAAGGATTTATCCCAGAATTAAACCAATCCGTCATTGACAAGCATGTCCAAATTCATTTGGGTATCCAAGCCTAAGTCTTTGTTTGAATAATTCCAGCCAATTGCAAGATTTATAGACTTCCCAGGCAAGGAAAAAAAGGCGCCTACGGTTTGTCCGTTGCTGGAGAGCTCAAGGGTTTAGGTCCCTGGCTGTGGAGCCCAGAGGGTGGGGAAATCAGTTCCCCACTGGACTTCCTTTTAGGGGCTGGACTTAATGATCCAGAGGGTCCCTTCTAGCTCTGCAGTTCTGCGGTGTTGGTGGCGATGGTCCTTATTATCATAGCTGACAATTAGCAGGTGATATTGACTGCTGCCAGCTGTCCAACAGGGGCTTGAAGGGATGACAGGGCCACCCGGCTTCCCAGCGTCCTGCGGCCTGGCCCCTCCTCCTTAACCCTTGGCCTTTTGAGCCCAGGCTGATTGGCTCTTGGGGGAGCCAAAGTGCCTGCCGCGCGCATGGCTGCCTGGTTTATTTCCCCCTGCTTGGTTTTCCTAGGAAGAAACAACAACCCAGGAGCTTTTATTGCTCGGGTGTCCGTCCTTGTCTTTCTCTAGCCCTGTTTAAAGAAGATCCGGATTCATTGGCACTTGTGCCTTCTCCTCAATTGGAATTCATCACAGGGGAGCGGCTGGTGGGAGGGGAGCTGATTTTTGTCCTTAACACAAAAGGGCTCAAATGGAGCCCATGTAAATTATTTGCCACCTTTTGTGCGCAGACAAAGAGGCGGCTGAACGCCTTTCGAAGACTGTGGACGAGGCATGTTTGCTGCTGGCAGAGTACAATGGGCGGCTGGCGGCAGAGCTGGAGGACCGGCGCCAGCTGGCACGCATGCTGATTGAGTACACGCAGAACCAGAAGGATGTGCTGACAGAGAAGGAGAAGAAGCTGGAAGTGAGTATGGTCTGGTTGCCGAGCGGTCGGTTCTCGCTCCCGGGCCGTCCGGAATGAGAAAGATTGGGTGTCAACCCTGCACTGTGGCCACTTAAGCCCCGGCTTCGCCCGTGAAGTGTTTCTGTAGAAGAACAAAACGCTAAGAAACCCAGCTTGTCTTGCAGAAAACAATTTAAGCACCCAGGTTGATCTGATGGGCAGGTCTGGTCAGCCTCCCAGTGGGGTTTCCATTCTTTGAGAGTCCAGTACACATCATGCTAGTATTACCCATCATTGGGTTTTTTTAGGGGGGGAAGTTTGGCGTGCTTGATCTGTAGTCAGTGGGGCCTTGTTTGGCTTCCAGGATCTCTGTGCTAAGATGGTGAGGCGCCCCTTTCTTGGAGTGCCCAGTTTTCAATTTAGCTGAGCACCTGGCCGTCCTTGATCGAGCTGATCCTGACCCAATATGCAGCTGAGTGCCCAAAATGCCTTTTCAGCCGTTGCTGATCAGGGCCACAAATGTTTATTCATGGCCTTGTTACCGTGGGCTGTCCAGTTGCAAAGGAAAAATGGCCGTGAGCGTGGCCGCGTGTCATCTCTCTGGAAGGCACTCCTCATGGCAAGGCCGGGCGTTCGGCTGCGCAGCCCAAGGCTGATCCAGGAATGTAATTAATGACTCTGCTTGTATGTCCGCTCTGCCATCTGGTGCACTGGCCCCCGGCAGCCCATGACGTGGCTTCCTACGGCTGTCCATGCCCTGACGGTTCTGAGCAGCTGTTCCTGGGCGGGGTGAGAGTGGTGGGTGAGGGCAGAGTTGTCCAGAAGGAGGGCACGCATTGAGCAGGATGCCCCTGCAGGGGTCCCGCCTGCAGCCACAGGCCTGCCTTGCCCTTCTCATAAGCTGCCTGTCGCCTTTGCTCACCCCGGCTTTCCTCTTGTGCTCACTCATACGTGGTTCCTCAGGTCTTACAGGGGTGGTTGCATTTCAGTTGCAAGAGAAATTGTTAGATGCTGAGAATTGACTGGTAACCGAACCTATAAGAGTAAGAAGGGAAGCCATATAGATTTTAAAATGCAGTTAAAATAAACTTCTTGTCTGACATCAGGAAAGCTGGACTTGGGCTCAGGAAGTCATGGCAGAAGCTCAGCCATGCCGGGTTGTCCCCTGTCTGGCCTCTTCGCCCGTACAAACTGGCCATCTGGCTGCCTCTGTTTGCCCACCTTCTGGTCCCTCTGCAAGGGCCGAAGGTGGCCTTGGTTCTCCAGGCCTCTGGGGTGACGAGGGCAGAGCAGCGCTTGGCCCTTGTTGTGCCTGGGACGTGTGTGGACGGGCTTTCCTAGCTGAAAAGGTGATGATGGTTTCCTTTGTTGGTTAACGTGACTGTTTGCAAAATATGGAGAGAAGGGGAATAACGACTTTAGGGCGAAGGTCTCCTCTCTTGGATTCTTTCAAGCCTCAAAAGGGTTTATGAACAAGAATGTGAGGGGCAGGATGAGAAACGCTGACCAAACTGTAAAGCGCGATGATGGGTTTCAAGCCGTCTGTTTAAAAAGCTTATCTGTGCAGGCTTCTGATGAAAAGCCTTGTTTGTTACACCTTCTCATGACACAAGATTTCCAAAGCATGAGAACAGAATGCCCAGATGCACAATGTATTCTACCTTATAAAAATTAACAGATACATCTTTTAAAGATTAACAGTTTGTTAGGGCTGGAAGGTCATGGTGTCATAAATGTACAGTATTCATCTTTTAAGAGGGCGCCAGACTTGATGTTGTTTTGCTGCAAAAAAACTAAGACCGTTTCCTTCTAGAAATGGATGAAAAATTGCTTCTTGTCCTGTTTCTGGAACGGGTTGAGAAGAGAAATTGGCCTCCTATCTGGCAACCCCTAAAGAGGATTTATTTTATAAGTCAGGGAAAGGTCTGCTGTGCTCCGATCAAATAAGGCAAGTAACTGTATGTCCTCAGGGTTTTCAGATTCTCAGAGTGATTTTTCATTGATCAAGCGGTTTAAATAGTTAATCCCCTTCTCTGGGACCACAGCGAACTATCTAAACATCAGAAGGGTAATTTAGAGGCTGCTGACATGACTGCTCATCAGCCAAGGCAAATTCTGCATCTAGACCTTATTTACATAAGAGTTGCCAATGTTTACTCATTTCAGCCTGTTGACCCAAAGATCCTGAAATAGCCCAGCTCTGGGACTCTGAACACTCTTGCTGGGAACTGCCCTTCCAAAGCATCAGTCATGCCAGGACACTGTGTTGGATGAGATGGGATGATGCCAGACACTAGTGATGATGGACCGGCCGCTGTCCTTGCCGCGGCAAGACCCAAAGGCTAGCTGGAGATGTAAAGACGTGCCAGATGAAGCTGAATCACCAGCTTGAGAGGGGAATAAAGTCACACCTTGTACCTTCTCCAGCAGCGGTGTCTTGTGAGGGGGCTAAATCAGATTCCAGTGTGACTTCTTCTCTTAAAGGTTGCATGCTCTGGAAACAGTTCCAGCTTCACAAGTGGAACACCAGTTTGGCCCTTGCAGCCGTTCTCGAGAAGGCCAAGGAAGAGAGTAACATAGGCTGCGATTCAGTGTGTCTGCCTCTAAGGAATAAGAGCGCAGGGACATTTGGTGCGGACTTGGTTAATGTGCTATGGAGTGTGTGCAGGGTGTACTGTATGCGCTTCCAGATTCCTCCTTTGGAAAGTGTGAGCTGTCCACTTCCAGGATGAAGGTGTCAATGGGGACTTGGTAAACGTGCGACGGAGTGTGTGCAGGGTGTACTGTCCACTTCCAGGATGAAGGTGTCAATGTTTCTGTACCTTCAGCATCTAATAAATAAAACATTTTTTAAAAGCTGCAAAACTGCCCTGCGTTCATTAGAACTCTTTTAATTCCTGTGCCTATTGTGACATTTTGCAGGATGGTCACTTTGAGCATCTCTGGGGTATTTCCTGATTTTTTTTCAAATTGCCTACAAGAAAGGGTGTGTGTGTGGAACCTTTTTTGATCCCACACTTTTAAAGGTCCCCCCCTTTGCCCAAAAAGTACTGCACCAATCTCTCTGAAATTTTGTAGTTTTCATTTTCGCAGAAGGAGCAACTTTGTGGATTTTTCTATGAAATGAAGTTACAGGCGGTTTTCTTTGGGTGGAGGTGCTTTTAGACCTGTTGTTCATGAAGCGGCCTCATGCCTTTCAGATCCAGTGGGTGGTTGGCACTCCTATTTTGTGGCTGCTGATTCTGTACTGAAATTACTGGTTTGTCTGGAAGTAGTAAAAGAACCCAGCCTAATAGGTTCCCCTCTTTGTGAATCAGCTGCAGGATTTTGTGGGTCCCAAGCACCCGACCTTTACCCCTTGCGGTTATTTCTTCCATTCCTAACAGCACCCCATTCCTACCCAAACAAGGCCGTGCTTCAGCCCCAGCACTTGCAATGAAGAGGCACAACTGGGGCTGGCAGGCTTATCTCTCTACCTTTCTCCTGTGATTGATGGAGACACTCCTCCTGAGAAGCGCATTTTCTGGCAGGGGAAATGAAATCGATCAGTGGAGGCAGAAGATGGTGGTAACTGACTACGCTTTCGTGGTGAGAAATCCTCCCACCGGCTCCCCGTTGTCTGAGCACCTGGTTTCTGGGCCAGTGGAACCTCTCGGGCTCTTTGGTCGGCCTCAGGAACTTACCTGCTCAAGGCCAACCAAAGATGGCAGCAGTGGCCTAGCATCTTTGCTCTGTTGTAGGCTTTGGCAGCGGCGACGGCGGCTCTGTTGTGCTGACCACTGACGCTGGGCCAGCTTAGTGTGGGGTGATCCGGGTTCCCTTGAAGACAGGGCAACTTGCTGTATGGTGCCTCTTGAAGGAGGACTTAAGTCAGCCCTTCCTGCACATCTCTCTGCATAGGCTAGAGGAGCTGTGTGGAGTGACTGGCCTCAGCAGCCGTTCAAACAGCCGCGATGCATCTTCTTCAGTGTGCAAACTGCCCTGGCAGAGCCCTAGATAGAGCCTTTTTTTTTACATCCAGTTGACCAGGGGAGGGAGGGTGCCACGATACTTGGAGAAGCCTGCAAAACTCTCCGGTGAGCTTCCCTGGCAGAGGCTTCATGGCCCTCAAATGTCCTTCTACAACTGCCCTTCCTGTTAATTGAGATGATCCAGCATATGTCGGGAAATAAACAGATGCTTCACGTTGGCCAGAGTGAAGAATAGTATTTGGAAGCGGGCAGAAAAGCATCCACGCAACTGAGCAAGCCAGACACTCCTGTGTAAGCAACAGCTGTGATCACTCAGGAGGCTTAGGAGAGCCTTACAGGGAAAAGACGTTGTAATACTAAAATCCTCCTCTGATTCCAGCTCTGAAACTTGGAACACTCACCCCAACGCTGGGAGCTGGTTGCCGGTCTCCTAGGTTTGCCTCCATGAAGCTTAAGCCTCCTTGCAGATGGTTGCATGGCGTTGCTTTGGAGATTTTGAAGGCAAGCCATACTGGGAAGTCATTTCCATGGGGTGAACCAAGCAAATTGGTCATTGCCTCTTTAGTCCTCAAATAAGGCTGCCTCGCAGGAGCGGGGGGACCAAGTACTCTTCTGCTTGACTGACTGGTCATGTTTTCTCCCTCCTTGTTGGCCATCTCTCCCAGTGTATCTATGGATGAGGTTGGGTTTTGGTTGAATCAGAAGGACTTCCTGTTCACCTCTCCTTTATCTTCTCAAAAACTCATTGAAAACAATGCTGAATTAGTCTCACAATATGCTACAACAGTTGTGTCTCCTAATGAATCACTGTATCCGGGGAAATTTGTAGTATATTGTGGGACTATTTCAGCATTGTTTTCACGAACTTTTTGCCATTGCTAAGAACTTTTCTGTGCTCCTTACTGGATGTGCTCACTTATGCTGGCAACAGATTCTTTAACTGAGCTATGTGGCGCAGTGGTTAAAGCTGCTGTACTGCAGCCAATATGCTGCCAACAGATTCTTTAACTGAGCTACGTGGCGCAGTGGTTAAACGGCTGCCCTGCAGCC